ATACTTCATATCATATTGTATAATCTCGTTCAATTTTCGACAAAGATTAAGGTAGGGTGGGCATTGATGGTGTGTGTTTGGTGAGTTTGGTTTGAAGATAAATTTTTCTAAAAAAATTTTGTGTTAATATTTATTTATTTATTTTAAGTTAGATTTATTTCTACTTTTTGAAAAGTTATGGAACTCTACTTGTGATTTTTCTTTATTTTTTATTATTTTACTACTTTCTTTTATTTTTGCCATTTTAAAAATGGAAAATCTATCATTTAATAGCTAAAATTGAGGGAATGATGAGTTTTACTATATAATTGACAGGTTTGGATGAATTATGTTAAAAAAGATTGAAAACAGAAAGTGCAAATTTTGGAACCACTATTTACGTCCACAATTGTTTTATGATTCACAATCTATATCTATTTCTCGATTAAAATTTTAAAAAATTAATATTTCCATCCAAATCACATTCCAATGTTGTTCTTATTGAATTCATTCATTTAAACACTATCAATCCACACAAGTTTTACATATTCATTCTACTCTTAATCCATCACTAATTCAATTAAAAAAAAAACCACCATTATTTCCCATCCCCATTATGCATAACATCAACTTTCTCACAATTTAATAATTAATCCTATAGTGTTAATATATGAACAAAATTCTGTTGGATGTTTTGTAGATTGGTTGAAAGAGATGTTAATTAAGCATGTGAAGTTTTGGGATAGCAATTGGGCGTTCAAGGTGTCATTTAAGGTGTTTAGAGTCAATTTGGGACTAAATCTCAGCGCCTAAGCGCCATTAGAAACCCTTTCGTCGTCACTTGCCTACCGTCCGTTTACCGCTCGAGCAACGTATATATCCAGAGAAAATCTTTTCCTTCTTTCGATACGATTTTTGATCCTCGTTCTATTTAAAACATATTCTTCGGGGTCCCATATATACTTCACACAAAATCTTGACTTTCATATGACTTTGTATGAGTTTATAGAGCCAAACAATATTATAAGCACATTATTATTGTATTTTTTCCATATTAATAAATTTTCCATTCGTTTGCTAATTGTTCTTGTGTTCCTCTAGTGTCGTGGTTGCTATTTTATACCGTGCCATATAATCTTGTCTTAAATTTCCTAAGAAGTGGTATCAAAATTTAACGTTTGTTTTGTTCAATGTTTTATTCTTGTAAAGCCAATCATGAAGTATGATATCCCTTTTCGGATCATAGCATTAGATTCTCATTGTGGAAGGTAAAGATGTAAGTAGTGCTCTCTCAAATGGATTTGGATGACAGAATGTTGGGATTTGACAAGATGTACTCAAATTGATTGATGGAGGATAAACAACATAAAGATTGAAAGGCCATATCACATATTCGTCTCCATCTTTCGAATCATATTCTTCAGAAGTTTTAAAGAGAAAATCGCAATTATGTTATGGTTGATGATGAAACAATTGTGCATGACTAAGAGTCTAACTATCAGATTAAAACTGAAGCATAATTTGTATTCTCACTGTATGACAGTACATCTCTAGAAAATCACATTGATGTCTTTAAAGAAATTGTAGCTAATTTGAAAACATTGAATGTTAAGTAGGATGAAGAGCATTTAGGTTTAATTTTTTCATATATGTCATCTAGAGACACGATATTATTTCGTCGTGATTGAATAAGTATATAATGATTATTTTCAAAGGAGAAGATGAAGCATCTTATTGGATCAGAAGTTTAAGGAAAATGTCTTATTGTTCATGGTAGTTATCAAAGCGATAGTTCGAAGTCTAGCTTTATTAATAAAATTTGTAATTGTTGTAAGAAGAAAGAGCACAAAAGGAAGGATTGTTACAAGTTGCAGAATAGAGAAAAATTGGCTTCAATTAAAAGGGAAAACAATCAGAGACTTCAGGTGAAGCCAATACTACAGAAAATCACTACAGTGATTGAGAGGTTATAGTTTTCTCTGACGGCGATTCCAATATGGCCTTAATACAGCTTGTTCTTTTCATATGTGTCCTAATTGAAATTTGCTTTCAAGAAATAAAGTTTTCAAAGGTATTGTGATGACGAGTAATGATACATCTTGCCCGATAACTAGTATTGTAAGAGTCAGAATCAAGATGTTTGATAGGATAATTAGGACACTTGATGAGGTAAGGCATGTCCCAAATTTGAAGAGAAATTTAATCTCCTTAAGTACTTTTATTCAAAAGGGTGCAAGTACACTTGGATGTGGAAACATAAAAATTAGCAAATGTACCCGGGTTGTATTACAGGGATAGAGAATGTTCCAATTGTATGTCTTGCAAGGCCATACAGTATCATTGGAGATCAATTAGCAAAAATTTAGTTCATTGATTAATATTCAGCTTGGTACAATATTGTTGAAGTTTAGCTTGTGGTCTATACTAAAAATACATCAGAGTCGAGTTCAAAAGTTATGGAAAGTGCCGCTTTACCACCATTAGTGGTGCTATCATATTCAATTGCTAGAAACAAACCCGACAGAGATATCGGGCCTCCACAAAAGTACGATGAAATTGATTTAGTTACATATGCTTTTTAAGTACGGTTGAAGATATTGAGTCTAGCAAAGGAACCTTTGACAGAAGTAGTTTGTTGTGTTGATTCTATTATAGAGTAAGTTTTTGCACTGTTTTGTAATTTGTGAATTATCTGTAAATTTATTGCTCATGGTGATGATTCGAACAACTTTGGCACTCGAGGTAAGTCTACCGAGCAGTGGTTTTTAAATTAGTCGATGAGTTTGTCATGTTGGACTTTGTGGAAGCGGAGGAGATTTTTGTTGTAGAGTTTTTGTTGAAGAGTCATTAGCTTATACCTTTTAGTGAAATTTGTTTCCAAGTGAAGAATTTGTGAAGTTTTGTTCATTGTATTGAAATTTATCTCAAGACGAAGATTTGTTAATATGTGACCCAAATCTTGTTGGATTTTTATAGATTGGTTGAAAAGGGTGTTAAAGAGTTATAGGAAGTTTTGAGGACAGCAATTGGGCGATTGGACACCCAATTCGGGCACCTAGCACCATTTAAGGTGTTTACAATCAATTTTGTACTGAAACTCAACGCGAGCACCATTGGAAGTGCTTTCACCATCGCTCACCTACTGCCAACTTCTCACTTGAGCGCTGCACGCTCCTCACCTAGCATGAGGCCGCTACTCGAGCGGCGTATATATCCAGGGAGAATTTGTTTCTTTCTTTTGACGTTATTTTTTATTATCTTTTCATCTAAAACATATTTTTTTGATTCCTATAGATATACCCCATGAAATTCTTTGCATATGACTTTGTATGAGTTTTAAGAGTTGGGAAATATTATAAACACAATCTTATTATATTTTTCTCCATATTAATAAATTCTCCATTGTTTGCCAATTGTTCTTGTGTTTTTATAGTGTTGTGATTGTTACTTCTTATTGTGTCATATAATCTCATCTTAAATTTCCTAACATATGGAGTAAAAAATCTTTGTCATCAAAGGTCAGAGTATTTTGTGAAATGCACAAAATATACTCCTTAATAGTCGAGTGAATTATATTGGAGCACTTCAAACAATTGCGTTGTTGATCACTTATCAGATCAAAATTGTACAAATGGCCGATAAAGGGTACATCTGTAAGAAGGCAATGATTTATGGTACCAAAGGTGATGTCTAGGTTACTGATGACAAATCAAGAAAGGCAAAAATTATGTATACTTAATTTCAAGTCAATCCATATGCCTAAAACTATTCAAATGATCAAATTTACTGTAAGAGAATAAGTTTTTTGAAACTGAAATTATTGATTGAGTTTGCTTCAAGAGCGAGTGAGTGGATAACCATCATGTGTGACTGCAAAAATAAAAAAAACAATAAAATTAGGCCCCCGTGGAGTTTGCAAAATTAGATATTTTTTTATACATGTTTTGATTTGGATTACTATTTAGATGGAAAAAAATAAATTTAACGGGTAATTGGTTCAGTTCGGGGGGACGATGTAAATACTATACTCGCATCGCTCCAATCCGGTTCATTAAAATCAAATACTATATCTGCCCCATTATACTATCGGTTCGATTTTTTTCGCTCCATGCAGTTCGATTAATCGTTGTTTTCGATTTTAACGGTTCAAATTACTATCCCTATATATATATATAAGAGGTCACTAGTAATATGATAATCAATGAAAATGATCTTGTAGGAAAAAAAGTCAATCCATCACTAGGTAACATGGTTGAGAATCTATGTACCTGGACGAAACGAGCATGTTTGACAACCATTGTTGTTAAAAAAAAATAAAATGTTTTGAATAGTAATCTTTTAGAGAATGTGTGGTTGACAGTTAAAAATTCGATCAAAAATTTGATCCTTTTATTCAGCAACAAATAGAAAAATAGAATTCCATTTTTTGTTATAGTTTACTTATAATAAAAATAGTAATTTGCCACGATTGATATTGTTATTGATATTACTATATATGTTATCAATATAAGTTGACTTCTCTATGTCATGTTATAAGTTATATTTTTGCATATTTGAGTCTCATTCTTTAATATATATATATATATATATTCCTCAATTTAATTATATATTCTCTCAATATATTAATTTTGTAAGTAAACTCAAAATATTTTTTTTATCTTTTAATTATATATTTTCAAAAAATATTATTTTTACCTTTTAAGTACATAATTTCCTAAAAATTATTTTTTCAAAAAAAAAATCATTTTAAAAAAGGAGCTTAAAAAGATAATAAACCCTATTTGACAACCATTAAAATGAGATTTTTGAGAAAAATGAGTTTTGAAATACTGATTATTAAAGAACGTATGATTAAAAAGTAGGAAAAAAATTTTAAATTTGAGTCGAATATTTTATTGTTAGAACGTGTAATAAAAAATGGGTTTTAGAAAAAATAAAGTTTTATTACAAGTATTGTGTAACTTTTAGGGAATAAATGATAATTTAAGTGTTTTTTCTACACTACAAAAAACAAATTAAAAAACTTGAGAATACTTATCCCTTTATATCCTTATCCATATCCATCTGTATGTATGCTAATATGCACTTCAAAATTCAAATTATCGTTAACCCAAATTCGGCAAAAGAATAGGTATAAATATTGGCGCGAACATGGAGTTACAAGGTAAATTAAATCAATAATAAACAGTACTTTTTCACAAATTTCCTTTTCTCAATCAATCAAACCATGAAACTTATGTTGAATTTAATTTTTTGAAATTTTTAGGGCACAGAGGTTCAAATAATCCAAAGGCCATACTTTCTTCTTTATTGCATAAGCGAGAAAAGCTTCAAGAAGAACTACGGAACGTTGAAAAACAGGTACTTTTCAAATTATGTGTGTTTAGTACAATCCTATGTAATTTGGTATTGGTTTTTTTTCCTGAGAATTTATGGGTTTGTTTAAAATTGTTGTATTCTGCATAATTTGGTAATTTATTGTACTTTGAGCATTTTTAATTCAGTGTCTAATCTCTTATTATAAGCTGTTGCTGATAATTAGCAAATAGTTGTTGATCAATGCTACAAGTACAAATTTTTTCTACTGAATTGGTAGAGAAAGACAGTTGTCTTCTTGTAATTAACGGTTGTCAAAAACAGTTATGGGCAACAGCAAATCAAAGGAAAACAACTGTTTTTCTGTACAAATTCTGTTAAGAAAATCTATACTTACAGAATAATTCATAGTTGTTTCTTATTGAAATATTTTAGGGTTTTGAATTTTTGGGGTGTATTTGTTTTATATTTTTACTTGTATTGGAATTAATTTGTTTCAGCATTTGAATTTTAAATATTTAGTTGAAAAATTGGATATTCAATTAAATTAGTTTAATTTTAAGTCGTAATGCTGTTTGTTGTAGGTATATGAATTAGAGACAAGTTATTTGCAGGAAACAAGCACTCTCGGGAATGCGTTGAGAGGCTTTGATGGATTTCTTTCTTCAACAAAAAATACCGCTAAGTATGTAAACTCATACGAACGTCTCCTTGCTTTTTCATTAATATTGTGGCATCTGTGTATTTCTTATATTCCTTGATGGATTAAATCACGGTGTGTTGTAGTTGTGAAGGATTTAATTGCACTGGACTGTGTTGCTGTTGAATTCATGCATAATGTAGTGGTAATAAAGTAATCAATATAATTTCAAAGCATATTTGAGCTCAGTTCAAATGCTTTCATTGATCTGTCGTTATGCTAATTAGTTTTTATCTAATATCTCCTTTGAAGGATAACTCACTTATAATTGACACACATTTTGTTGGACTCTCAAATTTCGGAATGGGATATAAAGTGTTCAGAAGGATATCAGAACAGGCATTGTAGAAAACTAATTTCTAATCACTGACCATTGTCTTTTACTTTCTTGTGTTCTTGTTGTATTAATTTCTCAATTTTTTTGCTTGACTTGAGAAATTAGAAGTTGGTGTATTTGTTCTCATAACTACAGAACTTGTTGGGAGGGTTATCGATATCCATATCTAGTAGAAACTTATTTTGGATCTAATAAAAAACTTGTTCAATATTAGAGTAAATGTATATCCATTATCCTTGATAGAGAACTGCTGAATCAGTTTCTAGTGAAGTAATGCTTTTGAACATAAGAGAATACATTTGGGTGCATTAGACTCCTTGGTGGTGAATTAGTTACTGTTAATCATAGTCCTAGCACTAAGAAAGTGCTTTTATTGTTTTTGCTTGCGTGAGCAGAGAAGTATTCTGTAGGGCACAGACATAATTTAGTGCTTGGGTGCTTAATTTAATACACTGACGATGATTTCGGGAGTGTTGAGTGGTGGAAAGCTCAGATAGTATTATTAGGAGATTGATTGTGAAATAAAACCCAATTGTTAAGTATGTCGTGGTATTCTTTTGGGTATTCACATGTTTATGTAGAGTATTGGTTATTGCATTGAGCAATTTCTCAGACGCTAGATGTGTGACAGTTAATTAAATTCTGTCGCATTTTATTTGATTGATGTCCAGTTGTTTTCCTTCTATTTTTTCCATGTTCGTCATGATCCATTAAAGCTATGTTTATGAAAAAGTCAGGTGATGCTATCCACCATTAAAGTTTCTCTCTCTCTCTCTCTCTCTCGCACACGCACGGATGCATGTTCTTGTATTTAATTTTTTGCAATATTTGAGATAAAATCTATGAAGAAATGGAATTTGGCCAACAATCCCTCCAATTTCTTTTTATCATATCATCAGTCACCAGTCATGGCATATGCTGAGCCACAAGCTCAAAACTACATATTTACTTGATAGGTCTGGCATTATTTGTTCAATTTGATCGAGAACGAGATAATATGCTATAATGCATTGTTTTAACAAGAAAGTTGGATTAATATTGTTGATATCCAATGTTAGAGACTTAATTATATATAACTCTTCTTACATTGTGTTTCAGCTTTAAAAGATCCAGAAAGTTTCAGCTTGAAGATCGGGTGTTTTCATTGTCCTCAGTTACCTCACCAGCAGTACGTGCAATATCCTAACATTTATATCCAGAGTAGACCTTTTTGTCTTAGATATCTCATTTGTTGATACATGATATATCCATTTTGGAGTACGAGTTCTTGTCTGAATATCTAAAAGTTTGGTCATGTATAATCCTATTTATGTGGAAACTTATGAAACTATATCTAAACCTAGGAAATGTAAGTTCTTGATCTATTAATCCATAAGTGGGTAATAATAAATTTCTAGCAGAATGATTTCCGGGAAGAATATGAAATAAATTTGTTCTGTTTGAGCACTCTGTCTGATCTAGGTAAAGCCGGAAGTGTGATACCAAGAATACACTGATTATTTGCCTTATGCAAAAGATACTGTACCTTTCCTTAAAAGAACCACCTCATGGTACCTTTCCTTAAAAGAAGCACCTCATGGTCCTTATCCTCGTAGTTTTGTGATGTATTTTTTGTCTCACTCTGTTATAAAATGGGCTTCCAGTCCTCTGGTGCTTATGAAAATTAATCATTTTGTCCTTTTGACGATGAGGATAGTGTAGGTAAACTGGAGGAAGTAACGAATCAAAGTGTTTTTACTCCTCTTTTCTTCAGAATATTGTTTGTTTTTCACATGCTTTACCTTTCTTGTTTTCAAAAATTAACCTTCTGTTGTAAAGGATGTATTGTTGTCTGCTTTTGGTATTAACCATCCGGGATTGACATTCCCTGTTTGTTCACTTTTTAATGTCTAGGCAGAGGAGCTTAGAGTTGTACGAGAAGGTTAGTCTTTCTGTTTTCTTTTCTTTTTAAAAGTTGTTCTGTGGTACTACTACGTGGAAAGGCGTAATTAATCCCAGGTAACTTGTTCCCGGGATTGACAACTTAAACAATTTTCATTGCCTTTTGACCTCTTCCTTTTTGACGTTGTTTGAGCACTGTTGTTTTACCTTCTCTCCCTGCATGTTTTTAGAAGGAAGATTGGATATAAGTCAAGGTCGGCCCAAGGGTGGAGGCCTAGTCACTAATGGACAGTAAGCGCACCTTTTCATCATCACAAGAGTTTATTTATTTAGTTTGAGAAAGCTAAAATGAATTATCAAGATAGTTTGTGCTGTCATCTCCACTAGTTATTTTCGTTTTCTTGTTTCCAATCCAACTACAATGCATAATACGAGTTCTTTCGTCAGGGGAAAACCAAAGAAAGTAAGAACAGGCTCAAGGGATGGAAAGAAAATTAGGCAGTCAAGTGACTTAGATCTGGATGATGAAGACGATCTCAATTTGAGATAGCTGACTTTCTTACTTTCGGATTCAACTCCTCCTATGTACCATATGTTGTGCTTTAAGTCAGTGGATTATTGGGTTAAATTAAGTGATCATGTAATCTGTGATAGGTATATATATATGTTGTAAGATGACCATACTGAATTCGGAAAGACTGAAAATAAAGAAAGGTAATTTAATTTAAAAAAAAAAAAGTATTTGAATCCTTTCTTTTTCTTTTTCTTTTTCTTTTTTCGTGGTTTTCCTGTTCTGTTCTGTAGGCTGAAGGTTTGCTGTATATATTTTACTAATCTTGATTATTTAAGCTTAGGAATCATTTACAGTTTGTAGACAATTTACATGATCTCTCAGGTTTTGAACGTGCATTGTTATTAAAACTAAGAATACAACTTGCCGGAAAAAGAAGATAATTCGAGCCCTCTATTTAAGGTAGATTTTACCCACTCTAGTGCCTAAGGATCTCGAGTAATTGTCTTCTAGAATTATTTATCACGGTCCCTTTAGGATGGATTTTAGCCACTGTAGTTCCTTAAGGATTTCGAGAGATTGTCTTCTTGAATATAAATATTTTCGTTCCAAAGTAGGAGCACCCCAATATTTCAACATGAAGGAACTCGGCTCATTAGAATGGAAGAAGATAATTAGCATAAATCAGGTATTATGAAATTTTTTTCTTTCAGAAATTAGGTATATTTATTACACTTCACACCACTCTGCAACCATTCTACTCACCGCACTCATGGAGGGACCCATATGGGGTCAAATGACCCCACAACTTCTTTACGAGGAAATTACAAAAAATGTTCATTCTGATGGTCATTTGCAAAAATATCCAAAATTTTTCAATATCTATTTTTGCAATTATTTGGACGAGAGTACCCCTAAGTAACTTCCATGAGAAGCTGAATTAAAATGACGTTCTTAACATTTTAAATGTCATTCTAGATATTTGAATCCATTTATATTTCAAAAATATACATGTCAAATCACAATATTAAATGTTCTCGACATTTCATTTCAAACATGACATTTTTTTATATTTTAAATGTAATTCTTGACATTTCCATGTCTAGCATTAATTGTGATTTGACATGTGCAATATGAAATTATTTATCCTTTCATGAAGGGTAAAATAAATAATTTGGTATCAAATTTGTCCATTTTTGCAAAGATTATCAAAAGTGGACATTTTTAAATTGACATATGTAAAATTAGATATTTTTGCAAATGTCCCTTTACTTACTTTTTTTTTTTTTTTTTTTCAAAAATTTGTACTCTTCTCTTCACGACTTACTTTGATGCGCTCATTACTAGGAGTGGGCAAAACCCATACCAACTCGAGAAAACAGACCCTATTTTTTTGGTAGGTTTCGGTTATTGGGTTGAATGGTCGGGTCGGGTTATGGGTTAACAACGAAAACCCGACCCGACAAAATTTTTAAAAAAAGGGAAGAAAAGGGAAAAATGACATAAAATGAGAAAAACGCCCTAAACTTTACTCAATCGTCTCTCACTTCTTCACTCCTGCCTCAAAGCCAGCAACGAGCCCTAATCTCCCTCCCGTCAATTTGCTCTCAAATCGTCGACGACAATCTTCATTTTCCAGTTGCTGATCATTGGACATCCACCCTCCAGTGCTAGACTGCTAGAGTAAGTTAATAATGGGGTTGATGTTGGTTTTAATTGAATGAGACCTAATCTGTCACATGTAGGTTTATATTTGGAGATTTTTCCCGTGAACTATATTGGTTTATATAACTCGGGCTTATGATAATTAACAAGCTGCTTTCTCTTCCTCTTTAAGTGAATTATGGATGAATTCGTGATATGTTTCTTTCCTGATTACTACTTTTGGTATTGAACGCAAGATTGTCAACGATGTATTTGGTTTGAATGCTCTCCATGGAGAGGTCTCTTCTCATTAAATAATAAGATACAACCTTGATAACAGTCTACAATTAGAAGTCTCTTCCATTCAGGTGCTTTGCACTTGTACTACAACCTCACTTGGTACTATTTGATAAGTTTAAATTATATATTTTTTGCATTTATTTCTCTTAGGCCATGTTTGATTGACAAATCTTTTCCATGAAAAATTGAAAATGGAATTTGATTGGCAAATCTTTTCCATGGAAAATGGAAAATGGATTCCATTTTTCCCACTTTCAAGTGTTTGATATGGTTTTTTTCCCATGGAATTGAAGTTCCATTTTTTCTTGGACCTTGGAATTTTCTAGCTTTTTAGGGGTGGGAATTGATTTTCTCGGTTATTGTAGCAAATATGTAATTTTTTTTTCGTTGGCAAAGTTAACAAATTCTACGAATTATTGTAAAAAAATATTTCCCTTTAATTGACAATTTTCAAGTAAAACAAAGTCAAACAAACATCAAAACATAGATGATTTTCTTGAATTTTTAATTTTTTAATTTTTTTTAATTTTTTTGCAATGGAAACAAATTTCATCCCCAATACCAGTAAATTCTATACCTTTAATTGACAATTTTTATGTAAAACAAAGTCAAACAAACACCAAAAAATAATTTTATTTCAACATTTTCCAATTGAAAAATTATGTCAATCAAACACAATAATTTACAATTTTCAGGAAAATAATTTCCCATCAATTCAATTCCTTGGAATCTGTTTTCTTTCCACCCAAATTCCATATTTGCAATCAAACGAGATATATTCATTGTCAATATTGTAAGAGTTCTCAAAATCTATTCTGGCTTGAATATTTGATAAAGATGCCTCCACGATATAAATTTGCATATCTGTAACTTGTGGCATTTTACTTTTATACTTAAGATATATTGCGTCAATTTTTTTCAATCTACTATTCCACTTTTATCCTGTTGATATCTGTTAGTTGGAACTTAATTATGCACGTCTATTTTGCCTTGAGAGTGGGAGCAGTGTCAGATTAAATTTCTTATGCATCTTTTATGCTGGGGCAAGAATGTGAGTATCATGTGTTATGTTTCTTTTGAAGAGATGCCAATCTTTCTCTCTTGCTTGCCCGAAGATGAAGGTTGTCCGGCTAAATGATGTGAAATCCATTGCTCTTCAGATACTGGGAACGAAACTGACCAACCCAACCTAACCCGACCCGACCGACACATGATTGGATTGGGTTTCAACATTTACACGGGTTGGGTTGGGACAAAAATGACCCAACTCAACCCACGCCCACCTCTACTCATTACGGAATGTTAAGCAAAGTTGAAATATTATATTATTAATACCATTTCGAAGTACTTATGACCTGATTTTTCACTCATTAATAGCGTATGAAACGGCCAACCATAGCAAAAGTTACGACGCGTCAAAATCGACCATTCCAAACTAGTATTTCAAGAATTTCGATAATATGCTAACTTTAAAAATTCGCTGACAATTGTACTCTAGCCGGATCTACAAATTGCCTACATCATTCAGAAGTTCGTTTTGAGAACTATATCGTAGTTATATCAAATAGTCTAAACGGATATCGAAAATAGTTAAACGTGCATCAAATGTACGTCTCTAAAAAAGATAAAAAGATGTCTAACTCGTCTTTCCTTTAAAAAATTTTAATTCTTTCATTAATGTTTATTATTTTTGCACAAAAAATTTCTCAATATAATTTACATGATCTTATTAGCAAATTTTACATGGAGTATGGCATAAAAATTTTTAGGATTGTTATAGATTAAATGTAACTTAAATTACTTTTGAATTAAATTTGAATTTCATTTACTTTTTAGATTGAATTTGAATTTTATTTCAATTTATTTACTTTCTACATTTAACTTGATTTACTCGCTGTCGGCTCAGCATTTATCAACGAGGTGGTAAACAATAATATAAAAGTAGCAAAATTCATTTGACAATATTGATAATGATATAATTATATAACGTTTTCAAAATACTAAGATGTGTAAACTACAATTGTAGTAGTGTATAGACTTATTTTATTAATATTAGGTTGTTTTTAAAAAAATTACATTTTAATTTCTAACCCCACAGTACAAAAAGTCTGAGTATATGTGTTCCACACTCCACATACTGCAGAAATACCCCATAATAGATTCCATTGGAGCTCGTCATCGCCCATCTTTGTAACTCAGTTAAAGCCTCCAGAGACTCAGCCCTCGAAGCAACCAACTCGAGGCAGAGAGGTGTTGGTTACAAGCAAAAAAGGGCCTCCATCAACAGTGGTGGTGTCGCTCAAGTGCTTGGCGGTACAGAGGGACAACTAGGAGGAGGCGGTGGATAAGGGTGATCAGCTATTGAAGAGACTGCAAGAGAATTTCAGAGCACGCTCTCTGCCTCTTTCAAATTTTGCCCGATTTTTGAAATTTTTTCAAAAGTTTGTTGTTTTGTAAATTGTATTTTGACACATTTGTAAATACTAGTCACATATAGATATTTATTACACATTATTCTAAAATATTTTATAAGTGCTGTAACGATAAGTGAACATGAATTTGAAGAATTAATTTGCACAATTTTGATCTAAATATGAGAGAAATGCGATCCTCTAAAACTAAAAGTTAATTATTATACGTCTACCTAAATAGTGAAATGCATAATTAAATGTTAAATACATGTTGAAAAGCAAAAAGTAAAGCATTACAAACACCATAACAAAATCACTACACAACTTGATCAAAAATTTGATCGCATCAACTGTAGTGGTAGCGGTATCATCGTGTACATCCAAAATGAGATCCAATCGATTGTCGCACAACGTAGAGCGATAGTGTTATCTCTTCTTTCAACACAGCATTGCGCGTGCAACGACAACGTAATGTATTCCGATAGCATCATTTCTTCATACGATGTTTTTCGGAGTGGACAGAGGTCACGCGTCGCACCTAGAAGCAGAGGTCCTCGTAGCTACGACGTTTTTGGGTAGACGCACCTAGGACCAAAGGTCCTCTTGTTGGTGCCACTCTCTTGCAACGGTGCCGATCCTCTTGTCTGCACCAGAGAAAAGATAGAGAAAGGGAATATGTTGGGAAATAAATTAGGTTTGTGAGTGAAATTAGGTTGGCGTAGATGGGTGGGATGGGTGGTTTTATATATTAATTTTATTTTATAATATTATTATCAATATTTAATAATTAAATTATCACCTGATTTTTTATTCAATAAACTTACATCTTAATTTTGAATTGTCGTCTTGGGCCGATATT